AACAATGGTCCTCACAATAGTTATTTGTCTATCACGATTTTCGATAATAAAACCAAAGAAGATGTCAACAATGGCTCTTCATTGCATATCGGGCTGGTATGAAGCGTCTTATGCTGTTATGTCGCTTATCGTGAAATAGTTCCAAATCTAACTACTTCTGGCATGCATTTTTTTTCCTTCTTTTTATCTAGTTCACTGCTGGTATTGTCTGGACACTATCATAATGAGTAAAAGTTTTGGAAAAGGCAGGGAAATATCACATGGTTTATGTGTGATTGGAATGAAAGATGAAAGGGGGTATATCCCTTTGATGTCACATGATTACCGTCAGACATTCCGACTTCTAGAGTAGATTTAGAAATAATTTAGTGATTTGTATTGTTATGCAATAAATAATAACTTATAATATAGATCATACCACCAACAAATGAGTTTCCATTAGATGGTTATTTTTAACTATAGTTCTAGAAGTGGCGGGAGAATGTCACATGATTACCACTGTTGACAGACAGGTCAGGAAGTTATCGCATTGATGTTTCATTCATTACCGCATGAACCATTCCAACATCTATTGTTGACATACAGGTGCCAATCACTCTAGGGAATTATATCGTAATCAACACTTAAAATATGATAATCTCAACTTTATTCATTAATGATACAGCAAATAATTAAGTTCGTAATAGATGGACTGTATCTGTGATTGCGTAGGAAGCGTGACCCAATTTTATTACTTAAAAAAAACCACAGCATTCATGTTTGATTCCCGAGGCAAAATAGTACCATGCGTTTCCCGACTAACAGTGACATATATCTACATAGATTATCTTGCCATTCGAGACATTTTAATGTGTAATAGTTTTATATCCACCACTGTCAGTAATTGTATCTGTATCGGCCAATATATTTCGCAGTCAATATCTGATATTGGTAAAACCGATAGGTACCATATCGGACACCACTACTTGCACATCTAACATATTTATAAAACATCTAGCATTGAAATTGTCCATCAATCGGTGTAACCTAAGCAAAGAATCTCATTGCAGAGGCGTGCTCACATAAATGCAAAAAAAAGGAAATGGAAATGGTTGATAATGCTCGAATCCGATGAGATTTCCTACCAGGGTATAGTGGAGCGACCGGGGATGGCTATGTACCCTCGAATTTCGACAAAGTTACCTTAAATACTCAAGGAAATGCCCACTCTAAAGGAAACATTAAATTGTGGTCCCTCTTTCTGCTGCTCTTCCCTTGTTCCAACCACATCCAGAGATACTAAAAACGAATCACACTCAATGTAGGTACATAATATATCCTTTTTTCATGATTTCCACGGATGACTTCCAGAATAGATTTCACAGCTGGAATAATATTTCCATAATATTCAGAATTAAATTAATTTGTCTTAGTTTTATTTATTTATCTAAATGAATACAGGAAAACTGCAACACAGGCGACGGGAACGTGTTTTCCGGTTAGCACACTCAAGGCCAATACGTTAACCGTCACCATGAACTCTAATCTGTAACCAGTAACTTGAAACTTGGCAGGTACTCTTTGTAAGGAATGTCAGTCCCTGTTGATACTTGTTTTTCTTTACTCACATGTCGTTTAGTTCTTGATTGCAGCTAACTATGTTCACGTCTATATCTTTAGGACTTAATCATAATCCCTTAACCAAGTGTCAATGTATGGTATGTCATGGCTCACATAGACACCAAATCGATTTTACCATGTGCCACAGAACTCAAATTTTCCGGATCCTGCCCCCTCTCCTAAAGTGCCTTAACTTTTGTTTACCCACCCTCATTCGGAGGCCCTAGAACGTCCTTGGCACAGTGTTGAACTTAGTCATGACTTTACACCAAGTTTTTTTATGTCCTAAATTTTCTGACGTTGAAATTGTTATCCCCGCTCATTATTGAACTTAGGCCAGGGATCTTAATTGGCTCATTATTGTTGGCCTCCAATACCCGTTATCTTTCCGTCATTTTCAGAATGGCTGTAGGCAGTTCATTATCAAATAGTTCACTGCATATCGGGATCCATCTGTGTCGCATTATTTGAATCATTTTGTGAAATAAATTCGCTGTGTGCTTCAATAGGTTTGGTTCTCTTTGCTTCACTGTCGATGTTGGTGATCGAAATTGGACACAGTGAGCTGCCTGCTACGCTGCTACCGCAATGAGCAGTGGTCCATGAAGGAGTCTAAATGAAATTTAGTTGATGCTTGATGAATGCAATAGAATTAGATCTGAGGCAGACTCAACCTCTTTTAATCCCCAAATCTCCAATGGGATTTCCACATATTTTGACCCAGGGGAACCAGTTAATTACCAAAATGAGAAAATCAGTCGAAAATGGAATCAGCTGCCTCCAAAACGTATATTTTGACACCAAATGTGGACATTTTGTAAAATTTGCATTTTCCCGCCAAAACTGGCAGCCATCTGGAGTTATTTCCAAATATTAAGACTCTACGGTATAATTATTCACCAAAATGTGTATGGAAATGGATTCAGCTACCCGGAAAGGATACATTTTGATATCAAGCACGATCATATTATGATAATTGGATACAAATTGACATTTTCCAGTCAAAACCGGCGGCCATTTTGAACTTTGCCCAATTTGACCCATTTTGGCACGGATTTCGGACTGGGACTTTTATTGGTGATAATATACTCTAGACCGACCATAAATCGTGGTCGGCATTCCTATTGCAGCTATTGTCTGCATTTTTGCTATACATCCATCTAGAGCTTCAAATGGAAGGGCTAACAAACCATCAGAAAGGAACAATTTTGGTTGTGACGACCCCTCATAACGCCATGTCGTCACTTGGAAACACTGCACAACACTCACAGAGTGATGAATTACTAAGATATTGCTTTTATAATAGCACTGTTTTACACATAAGCCTTCTAAAACAACAGATTTGATAGAATATGAGCAGAAAAAAAGGGATTTTGGTCCAATATGGCGGCCATTTTGTTTGACGACATATTTAGACCCTTTATGATAGCTCAATTTCAGACAACTTTTGATATGTTGTTCTCTGGACCAAATACTACAAGATGACTAGTCATCACCATCCCGCGCCCTTGAACTTGTTTGGAAGGCATAAGGAAAAACAACTTCTTGGAATATCAATGGGACTGGTCAGAAGATTCATATTCTGATCATAGTAGCTCGGCAAGGCCCAGTCGCTACTCCCTGTAAGGTTTGCACAACAACCTTTGATTATCAGCTGCTGTATGTTAAACATTAAGCTTATACATCAGAAAATAAAATACTTTAATAGTTTGATGTTTGTATAAAGTTTTAAAAAGATTTCTCTGAACAGATAATGAAATATGCTTTAGAAATGAAATTGGGACAGAAGGAAGGTCATCAAAAAATAAAATAATAGGTTGATGAATGTAAAAGTGTTATAAAGGTATCTTGAACAGTTTCTGCGGTATGCTCTAGAATAATAATTATATACCAAAAAATAATTCAAATGTGTGTAAAAATCATTCAACAGAGAATTTTTTTTCCATGGCAATGCAAAAATTATTAAATCCGACAAATTTTTAATTAGCAAAAGGCACAACTACTGTAATAGGATGATGTGTGTTCAAAGTTTCAAAAAGATATTTTGAACAATTTATGAGAAAAACTCTGGAAACAAAATTCTGCATAAAAACTAAGTCAAATTTGTTTCCATGGAAACACAAAACTGATTAAATCCCAGAAATTCCAAATTAGCAAAAGGCTATAATAGGTTAATGTTTGTAGAAAGTTTCATGAAGATTTCTTGAATGGTTTATGAGATATGCTTTGTAAAGAAATTTGAACACCAAAAACTAAGTCAAATTTGTTTGCATGGAAACACGAAAAATATAAATCCCAGAAAATCCTAAATAGAAAAACGCACAACTGTCACAAGTGCCAAGAAGATATCTTGAATGATTTATGAGATATGCTCTGCAAACAAAATTATACACCAAAAACTAAGTCAAAATTGTTTCCATGGAAACACTAAGAATACATATCCCAGAAATTCCTAAATAGCAAAAGGCACAACTACTGTAATAGGTTGATGTGTGTACAAAGTTTCAGAAAGATATCTTGAACGGTTTATGAGATATGCCCCGGAAAAAAAATTGTACACCAAAAACTAAGTCAAATTTGTTTCCATGGAAACACAAAAAATATAAATCCCAGAAATGTCTAAATATCAAAAGGCACAACTACTTTAATGGGTTGATGCCTTTACAAAGTTTCAAAAAGATATCTTGAACAGTTTATGAGATATGCTCCGGAAACAAAATTATACACCAAAAACTAAAATAAATAAAAATACCAGAAATTCCTAAATAGCAAAAGGCACAACTACTGTAATAGGTTGATGTGTGTACAAAGTTTCAGAAAGATATCTTGAACGGTTTGAGATATGCTCCAGAAACAAAATTGTACACCAAAAACTAAGTTAAATTTGTTTCCATGGAAACACAAAAATATAAATCCCAGAAATTCCTAAATAGCAAAAGGCACAACTACTGTAATAGATTGATGTGTGTACAAAGTTTCAGAAAGATATCTTGAACGGTTTATGAGATATGCTCCGGAAACAAAATCGGGACGGACGGACCCCATTCCAATTTCCCTCCCTAACTTTGTTCAGCGCGGGATAAGAAAATGCAATAAAACGTTTTCTTGCAATTTTTTTAGGGTTATTCTGCAATTTGACTCTACTATAAGTTAAATATACCACTATATTCACAAAATTAATACACATGCATCCTGTTAATTTATATACATGAATGTGATTCTTGCACAACTACCCAGTATTCAGTCATCGTTCTGATTCTGAAGGCATGATGGGAAGGAAATAGAGAAGACTCTAAACTAAACACACTAAAAACATATACCCTGATATATTATGCCAGAACATGGTATATTAGTGTCTAAATATTGAAGGCTGCATGCCAAAGTGAGAATTATTTGTGAACCTTCTATCATATCACCAGTACGTTGTAGTCTTCTGATGCTTATGTCACATGGATGATGAGCTCTGTTGTTACGTACACACACGAACACTCTACCACCTGACACAGTAGAGAATGGTCTTGATCTCACTGATGTGGTAGCAAAGTATGGATACTGATAGTATTTAGCTGTTAAATAAGTTTATATTAGGAAAATGAATGATGCAGAAATAGTAGAATAGGAATTAAAAAATCATTAAAGTTGGGAAAAATAAATGCAAAATAAATTTAGGTTAAATAGCATTTGAATACCTTGAAACCAAAATGCTTTTTTTTGAGAAGCACCTAATCCACACAAAGTAGAGTTTCCTCCCTTTATCTGTTGTTGCGATCCAAACAGGGCTCACACTGGCTTTTGGGTTTTTTTCCGTCAAAATGGATGATAATTTTAATATAAAAAAAATGTTCACATTTTTTTCCGCCAACTGGAATATTTTTTATCTGCCAAAAATGTGTGATAAAAAAGACAACACCTAACAATTTTATGTCTCAGCTTGGCTTATTATAAAACAGTTACCGATATATACAATACAATATACAACAGCTTTAAAAATCTGTCTTTACATAATAGATTAGCAAAGTGTGGATTTAACAAGATCAGATTTTAGTTTTGGTGAATTTAGTCTATTTGAACACCGTACTGCACAATATATTTTCAGTAGTCAAATCTCATCCAAGGATTGCCAATTTTCTATAAATTTATGTGTTGCATGCACAATGGGCCTATTGTTATTTTTAGGTACCGTAAAGATATCAGAATCTGAATCCCTGATAGAATGGTATAAATATCAATTATATTTGTGATGCTTACAATATACCCGTCGTTAACTTTTAGAGCATTTTGGCGACGGTTATATAAATGGCGAACTGTTTTCTCGCTCAAGAATTCGTCACTATTCAACTGGAGAGAGAGAGACAAATGGGGTTTAACGTCCACTCGACACAAACTAGGTCATTTCAGGACTAACATATGGTTTAATTTTATTTCAATAATTCGCTTGCGCGTAGGGGTCTTTAGCAGTGGGAGGAAACCGGAGGACCCGGAGAAAACCCACGAGGTTGCTATTCAATTGGATCTTACGTTTTCGACCAGTGGTAATATTATAATTTGAAATAATGATATCCAATACAATGAACATGATATTATGAACAGGTTGATTTAATTAAATTATTTAAACTTGAAAATTGTTAAAAACACAAATTAAAAAAAAAAAGTCCTCTGATACCAAAAGTTCCTTAAAGCAGTTATAAACTCGCTCTCGTGAGAAGAGAGAGCGGGTCACTTTCTCCCTTTGTCATAATAAGGTTAAAACAGGAGGTCCAACTGACTGATGTTTGGTGTCATCAGAGCGGATAGAAAAAAACCTGTGGGGAAAAAGAATCCGCTGACTTTATGTGGAAAAGCGAAGTGCTCGCAGTAAAAACCACATAGCTGGACCCGTAGATTATGTACATATTAAAAGTGTTCGTCCAATAAGTTCCATATTGTTAAAAATTAATTAAAACTTCAAGACTTAAAAGTTTAATAGTGTTAGGCATTCCATAAGAGTTTTCCCTGTGTACGGCTTTCCACAGATAAAAGTGGAGAGCCGTACGCAAGGAAAACTTGACTTGAGATAGGCTTTATATATATATATATATATATCATTCACAATTATCAATCAACTAATCATTAATTCAAGACAACTGATTAGTATTACTCATTGGCGCAATCCGGTTTATCGGCGGCCAGTTGATCAATTTATAGTATCCCGCCACGTGATTGACACTAAATAATGGTTAATACAGGATAAATACGATTAGAATTTTAAGATTTATTTCCGCCAGTTCTCAAAAAGAATCGCCAAAACATTATCGCCAAAATCAAATTTTAATCGCCACTTTCATATTTTTATCGCCAGTTGCGACTTTGGCGACCGACAGTGTGAGTCCTGGATCCAAACACCAGATTTTGGAGCCCCGACAAAAGCACATATTATATATATAAAAATACATGCTTTTATTTCTAGCAAATCACCACAAAGCAGTAAACACAATGAATGAACAAGAAAAAGTCATTTAAAACAACTGAAACCATATTGTCACATAAATATGAAAGTAACTTTAATAAAGAATAGCGGGTACAAACCTGGACCTGAGCTCGAACTAGAGATACTAAGAGATCTAGGAGAATCAGAATTATATTCTCGTGATGGTGGATATGATCCATTATCATAATGATCATTATTCATCATGTGATTTGACATTCCTCCTTTTAAAAACTGTTCTTCTAACAAACTGAGATTAAGTCGTGGATCAGATCGACATCGCACCAAATTACGTATACTTGTGGTCATATTCATCATTTTTCTTCTTTCACTATATTTGGGAATTTCTCGAAACGGAACTAAAATAGATACAAAAAATATAGATATAACCTTTCTAGTAAACTGTTACAAATTTAGAAGGGAGAAGGGGAGGGAGGGGGCACTACGTGCCTGGCACTCAAGTCACATCCAGAAATTTCGACAAAGTTTATTAAACATTATTACTAGGGCTGTGTCGATACAGTTCATTTTTGATACGATACGTATTGACGATACGGCAAACCGATACGCAATACGTATCACGATATGATGACATCACGAATTATACCCAAAATAATCTCAAACTACATTCTGTTTTAAGATGTTTGAGATGGGTAAGCATCAGGGTTCTTAATCCATTTTAAAACGAACCGGACGGAATTGGGTCAATTTTAAGCTCCATTCCCATTAACAAAAATAATTCTTGGTAATTTGTTGTGGAGAATGTCGTATTTTAATTGATTACTACAAAAATAACGACGGATACACCTTTTGAAAATTTTCCATATTTAATTCACGTAAAATCTTGAAGTTCACATCCGTAATATTCCAGAATAAATTAATTACTGTCTTCGTTTATTTGATGAAACGTTCGCATTTCATAAGTCGATGATCTAAAATATTAGCATTTTTCATCTATTGCCAGTATCAGAAAATGCCGTAGCTAAAATAAGCTGATCATACGGCACCACTGCATTTCTCCATAACACAATTTGTAGTCTTTGTCTATCAGGTAACTATAGTCACGTAACTTGGCAAAAGTTTTTATTCATTTGTCAGTTGATACACACAGCACAATTGTCACGTGACAACATACTGAAATTGCTTTAAAATCAAAATTCCGTACGATTATGATTGATATAGCCTTCAATAAAAACAATATTTTTAAAATTAAGCCTTTGTCAGAATGTAAAATAATAAAAAAAAATCATAACGGTAAGTGCTATTTAGAACTGGTTTATTGACCTAACACAAAAGCGATATGTCACGTGTCATTGGAATTCTATCCGGAAAATATATTATTAAAGAAGCTAAGTCCGTAACTCAATATCATCGACATTGAAAACACAAATTTTTTTGCAATTTAAATCAGCATTGGTGTTGTGGTCTTACCTGGAAAAGATGGGCTTCTGATATCCAATATTTAAGACAAAATAAACATTTTACCATTGGTACACGAATCGTGTACCATAATGCGTTTCAGCGCCATTTGTAACAATGTGCTCAAAGAATGAGTCTAGACATATTCCACAAGTCATGTCAAACGGTGATGCCATATTCTTATTTGGAGAGCATGCGCAATATATACTATCGGTGTTGACTGGAAAAACCAGACGCTAGAAACTGTCTTTCGATTGAGACTTCTGGAGTATTTCGCCTAACATAACTGATGACTATTCACAGTAAAACGGAAACGATTGAATGTAAAACAGTTTATATAAATTCATATTACCTTATTATGTGTGTTGCGACCCATTTGTGCCAATTTCTAGGCCCAAAATATTAGCGATTTAAATTTAGCTCCTTTAAATGACTGTTTCTCGGTGTATTCGGTGTTTTATCAGGGGATTATTACATTCAATGAAGATTTAAATTTACCTAACAACTGTTCAATGAATCCATCAATGTATGATCCAGTTTTATTTTAATATCTACCTGTACCTGGAATTCACACGGAGCGTGGAAGACACTCGATAGGCAAACCATGCGGCTATATTACGTATCGATATAAATATCGCTGGAACGTATCGATACATATCGGTGTATCGATATATCGACACAGCCCTAATTATTACTGGAGTTTTTTCTTCTTTATAAAGATATATCTTCCTTTGATGCCCAGAGAAGTTTTGTAGTTTCACAAGATAAACTGATTTTCAAGTCACAGATTTGGCAACATTTCAGTAAGAAATAAACAATTTCCGGATGCATGATATGTGTGTGTTGAACCTAACTGTACAGACAATGAACAACCTTTCACAACCTACCTTTTACATACCTCATAGAAACTCAGAATGAGATCCAAACACCAGTTACATTGACAGGATCAATAATAAAAATTTATAATTTGTTATTGTTTATGGTAATATTATCTTGATATATATATACAGTTGTCAATTATTTACAATCAAATACGGTATATAATTGCTCTAAAATTTATGGGATATCTTAAAATAGATATTTCCTTATCCAGTATATAATTTATTTATGTGATTATTATGAGATTTCCTTATCCTAACCAATAAACAATTTATATTAAAACACACAAAACAAATCAGTGGCATTAAACAATAAATTCTTTCCACTTGGTTTCAGATTTCTACCTTGAAGCAAAGATTCTTTTAATATGATATGTTAAAAAAGTCATTTCTTTTCTTGATAGAGTAAATCAATACAACATGAAGATGTTTACCAGGAATCCATATGTAAACTACATAATGATTTACTCAAAGTTTAATGTTACTAATAATATAAATCTAAGTTGTGAAAATTGATTTTAACGGGTCATCTAAGTAGGATGAACTTGATTAGAGTAGCCTCTGAAAACTTGTTATGTCTTATGTGTATTACATTGGTGTTTTATTCATATTTATCCATCATCCAAGTATTTTTCTTATTTTAAACAAATCTTTTGTCTGGAAGTTCAAGTCAATAAACACAAAACAAATGTCAACAAAAACACTCAAGTATCTCAAGTATTGTAACTATTGGCTCAGTTGTTAAAATCAGATGACAGAACAAATATGCTATCTTTTCTTACTTTTAAATCTTCTTTAAATCTTAAACACAAAGATTCTAACAATTTTGCAACCATTTTTTACCAAAAGTTTCTAAATTCAAAATAGAAATGTTCCTTTATTATACCCATACTTTTTCTCGACTCTTTGATGAAAATGGGAGGGTATACACCGATACACAGCCACTTTTCCCGGCCACTTTTCAAAAGTGGCCGTGAATCAGTTGAAAAGTGGCCGTGTATTAGCTGAAAAGGGACAAAAATAACAAAATCATGATTTACATATTTATTTGAACATCTACAACCCGTTTTGAACATGTTATGGTAAAAGAGTCATCATTTTCAACTGTCTCAGCACTTTTCGAATGTGCGTCACTCTCAGTCATATTCTTACATTTTGTCTCACATTTCTTTACATTTTTATATCTAGTCGCACTTTCACATATTGTCGATCTTTCACATTTTGTCGCGGCTTATGCTCATCCGCAGCACATAATCCAAATATTTTACTATTATAAATTAATCTCTTGGCATTTTCAACATTAAAAACTTTCACATTTTGTCGCGGTTTATGCTCATACACAGCACGTAATCCAAATATATTACTAGTATAAATTAATCCATTGGCATTTTCTACACTACAAACTTGAGAACTCTACAATTCCAACTCGTCTTCATTTAATGGCTGTTCTTGTTTTTGTCTGTCAGTGGATGTCAATACCTCGCGAAGTTAATGAATTGATCTGTGCGGAAATTAGCAAATGTACCTTGCTTATCAAAAAAGTTAAAATCCAATCTTTTGTACTGGGCCCTTATTCACGAAAACTTAAACTAAGATACAATCGAATTTGCATATATCCAATGAAGTTGCAGTATTTCTTAAAATTTCGGTTGTAACTTAGTTTAAGTTTTCGTGAATAAGGGCCCTGATCTCAAAGTGTCACTATATTCCTAAGCAATTGGTATTTTTCCTCGTGTTTGGCAGAATTCAACTCATCTGCATGGCTTTAATTTCTTGTTCTGTGAAGGATCGAGCTTCTTAATCTTCGCGATCATTGAAATCTCTTGCAGAACTGATATTCTTGGTCTTAGAAATATATATCTGTGACATTATAAAGTAGGATTCTTCAACAAATTCCCGCATTCATTTCTGCCATCCACTACAATCGACGCAGCCAGGATGTTGGCAAAACAACAATAAATGGCTATTGTACAAAATGATTGGATGACGTTTGCTTTTCTCAACCAATCAATATCCCTGTTATGAACATTTTCCCTGACCTGATTTAAACCGTGAAATGCACGTGCGGTGTACTGACATCATTTACCTGAGTAGAAATAAGCGTTTGCGATGAGATAATTGGGAGGGCTCTAAATGGGAAACTTTGATAAATTTGTGAAATGAAAAATGCTTTTGAAATTGGGAAAAATAGAAAAAATCTCTATTTCTCGAAAAAGTATTTAGTATAAGTCAGTTATATACCTTGTTTTCACGGTGTATGGGTTGATACACCATTTTTTTTTTTTTGAGTGGAGATCTCCTCGGCTTCGCCTCGGAGCCCCACTCAAAAAAGAAATGAAATGAAATGGAGTTTAACGTCCTACTGTTCTGCTCCTAACCTGGGTTAATGAAGACGGGCATACGCCATACAGTGTGCTATGAGGGAAATTTTGCCCGGACAGCGACACTACGGCCTACTCTTATATCGAATTCCAACTGCCAAGGGATCTTTTACGTGCATGCCAATGTGTACACGGGACCTCGGTTTTTCGTCCCATCCGAACGACTAGACAGCTTTCCTTGTCAGGCCCTCCGTCCTGCATCACTGACAAGGGGAAACCACGCCGGAAAATCTGGATGAACTTTCTCGGCCAATGCAGGGATCGAACACCCGACCTCCAGGCTAGCGAGCTAGCGTCTTACCCACTTAGCCACGTGATCCCCCACTCAAAAAAGAGACGGTGTATCAACCCATACACCTTGAAAACAAGGTATATAACTATTACTTACTGTAAAAGGACAACCAATCCATAGAAAGTACATAAATTAGGAAACTTTCAATTCTGTTTTATATTAATTACAATGAGCCAAAAAAGAAGAGTGATCAAGTATGAATTTACTAGTATAGTTTATCACATGACAAATTTCACTGTTATCACAATACCTAAAATGGACCAAAATTCAAAAAGAGTATCATATTGAACATTTGTTATTATTATGTATCATAATCGATGCTATATTAATTTCCTGCAAGTAATAACAATGTTTGCCCATATTTGTTTTTGCAATCTAAATCTTTCCACAGAAAGTATCTGTTATATTCACATATCTAAAGTCAATTAGATTTTCCCCAGATTTTAGAAGAATCAAATACACACTGCTCTTTCTTGTTATACAAACCAAAGATTTACTCAAAGTCAAAAGCTGTTTAACTTAACCTTCAACATAAAACAAAATTCTTTACATAGACGGTTGAAATGATTTGTAGTTTACTGGTAAAACTTGTTTATATGGAATGTTGGAGTGTTAGTTTTTTTTTGTTTTTTTTTAATATTTACTAATACTCATATTGACAAAATTTAAACCGTGAATAAATACAGTCAAATATTGCATCTTGAATACACTTTAAAAGTTTAAATTTTCTAATGCCAATTTCCCACTCAAATTATATTACATGAGTATTTGTCAGGATAGGTTGGGTTTGGGGGTGGTGGGGAGTGAGTGGTCTAATGCATGCGCTTAGATAATGTCTGTCATTAAGTCATAACAAGCTTTCCAGTCTTGTGTGTTTCAAGTAAGTCTTTCTGGTTTTCTCCTACTGTCAACGATGTATCACGTTAATCCCCAAAATAACCTAATCTCACTGATTAGGTCAGTATGTTTGAACTTACTATGCCCGTATTATAGAGCAGACACCATAAACGATTATGAGATGGTTGTCACAGGGATTTTTGAGCAACCACTGTATTTTCTAGACAATCATTATTTTGGCAAAATGTTATATGTTCTGGTAATTTTCATAATTTACTATAGGGTGTCTGATAAAACTATTTAACTAACAATTTGAATTAATACTATGTTAGAGATGCAGCCAAATGTGGTTTGTCCAAGTAATACAGACATATCTTTGACTTATTTAACTTACCAACATCATCAATGCTGTGATTTTTGATTATTTCTGCCAAGTCTTGATTATTTGCCATAATACATACTTGGTAGGGGGTTTGATTATTGTAGTTCAGGATTTCTTTATTGGCACCACGAAATAACAGAACTCTAGCACAAGATTCCTGAAACAATAAACATCAAGAAATATAATGAAGTTGAACACTAGAATCATTCTTCGAAACATAATTAGACAAACTTATTCAAACACCTGACATTATATTTTTAAACATCAAGACTGCACATTGTATAAATATGATATGAAGACTATACCTGATTATTTACACAACAGACGTGTAATGGTGTATTACCACTAGCATTCTGTACATCCATATCAGCACCATAATACAACAAATGTTCCAAATGTTGTACTCTACCATAACGACAAGCCTGAAATATAATTAAATCAGGATACCGCTAGTCACTTGCATGGGTAATCTACAGGCTGAGAATACCCAAAAGGTTCATTCCTAACAGTAAGGCAAGTAAGAAAAGATTGGTTGCCAGGCAACAAAATATACACCCACAGCAGCTAAGTCGTCCAAGCAGTCAACAAAGATTGACACATATTTCATCTTTAGTAGCATTTACCTACAAAACACTAAAAAACAAATGAAATGAAATGAAATGGAGTTTAACGTCCTACTGTTTTGCTCCGAACTGGGCTAATGAAGACGGGCATCACTAAAAAACAATCAAGAGTAACAACCCATTCATTAATTATCGGAATCATTGTGCAACCAGTAATGATCTTTATCAGAAATCAATAGGCTTCTTTGTCACATGAACATAAACGCTGTGAATAATTTTAACAGGTGACAACTTTAGCTTCGAGAGTCCACAAGATTTTTCAAATTGATCAGTAACTAACATTAATTGTTGAAAATCAATAGGCTTCTTCGTTTCATGAACGTGCATAAATCATTTGGGTGACAACAATCAATTGCAGACGACAGATGGACGGGGCATCCCAAACTTAGGCTGCCTGTCTACAGCTAGCTCCGCCTGAGAACAGGCCCTAAGCTAATTACCCGACATTTTAATTCCTACATCGACGATTTTAGTCGAAAACACTAAGTATGCTTTTAGTAATTTTTAGAAGTATTTATTTCTCTTCTATTGTCATATTGAATGAAATTAAATATGTTTATTTAGCCGCTGTGTGTATGAAAGATGTCAAACTAATCAAAGCCGAATCACAAAATAGTCTTCTAATTATTCAATATGGCGGCGCCCATAAAAGGTAATTTCACAGAGGCAGTTTTGTTTGCGAAGACAAATTTAGGAGTATCTAACCCTGTTTTGAAAGATAAACAGATTGAAACTCTAAAAACAGTTTACAATGGCAAAGAATGTATTGCAATATTACCCACTAGCACATATTATATATCGCTTTTACCGGATTGGCAGAAGTTGACATTTTGCTAAAGACATGTGTTTACATAAAACATGTGCTTGATCGGGTTATTTTTACTCTGTTGTGTACACAAAGCTGTAGTCCAGTCGATAAGTCCCGCCCCAAAATGATCATGTGAGCATTCTAAATGGCGGCTAAATAGGGAAGTGATCATAATGACGTATGACGTAGATGGATCGCTGCGTGCAGTTTTATGGACGGGTTGACGACAATATACGACCACATCGTAGGTGTACAAAACAAAGTATTAAATATGTAAAGTAAGGACTGTAAACAGTCTATGAAGAATGAATATTCATAATCATATATACATCAGTCACTAAATAATACATGTAAGCAACCTACTGATACATAGTTAACAAGTATCTAATAAAAAACAACAATATGCAAATATTACCTGATGTATTTCAAACCAGCCTTGTTCATCATGTGTACCAATCACAGCTCGCTCATGTAATAAAACCTCTACACATATTGCATTAGTATCATTAGAAACACAGTAATATAGAGGTGTTAAATTGCGATAATCTTTATAATCTGGGGACGCACCAAGGTCTAATAATGCCTAAAAAATATAAGTGTTGTTATTTATTTATTGATGTTAAAATTGAAATGATCGATCAGTTATTTGAATATATAAGAGGTCTAATGAATTGAGTTAAACATAGATCTGTTTATTTCACTCATCCCAAAATATTTACTACCCATTACGAGATAATACAACATATTTCTCAGAAATTGGATGACTAGAAGAATGAAATATCCACTTGATCAGTGTTAACAAACACTAAGAAATAGACCAAAGTAAATGTGGATATTCAACTTACCTTAATTGCTTCTAAATTTCCATGAATTGCTGCACAGTGCATGGGGGTAACCCCTTGTTTATTACGAAAATCAAGATGTGCCCCTCCACTCACCATACTCATTATCATTTCTCGACATTTATCTCGAGGTAAGGTTGTTGCTATAGTTAATGGTGTCTCTGAAATCACAAAATAGTATCCCTATTTTTAACGATTATGCAAACAGACGTTAAAGAAGTGTAAATGAGATTGAAAACTTTGAAACATGTTTATTAATTCTGTAGGTATTGTATTAACAACATACAGCTTTAAATTCTTAAAACATTCAAAAAAATTTTAAATTCAAATATCAAATATCTGGCATTTATGAAATAAAATTTTAAAATATAAGCAAAGTATAAAAGTAAACATTTCAAACAATTTAAAAATATATAATTCTAATCTTCTTATGAAAGAAAATCTTTACCTCCACTATCATGATCATGAAAATTGGGATCTAATCCTTTATTAGTTAGTTTAATCACCTTCTCTATATTACCATTTCTAACCTGTTCCAGAAAATTCTTTAACTGTGTCTGTGAAAAAATAGAAAAATATAATCAGCTGAAGATGCTTATCTACAATACATACAACTGTATCCAGTATCGTCCCAACCTCAACAACATAACTTTATCATAAACATTAGATATATAGTTTTCTTACCTTAATGAACTTAAAATCCATTTAATCTATTTATCTGTGAGTCACAAATCAAGGTTGGCCACCATATTGATGTCACCTATCCTACCTGCATGTACTTCACATCATCATAAAAACTGGTCAATCAAGATAAGTAGCTCTTCTACTTCCAAAGTCTCATTAATTTAACTCATTTTCTACTTCGCTGTTTGTTTGTGGAAAGCAAGTATTCGAAAAGTTTGTATAATCAGCTCACCATAACGTCATTTAGGAAAGAAAATAATTACAAAATGATGTTTACAACGTACCTTAGTGTGAAGCTGTTTCAATTTACGTGGGTTAATTTGCATCACTTTGTAGACTCTTCGTTTGTATTTGAACTGAAACATAAGCAATCAAAATGGCTGAAAATTTTGGTAAAAACTATAAAGATGAAATATGGCAAGTTAGCGATGTGTTAACATGTCAATCAATGGGAGTAAATGAAGCTATTTGGTGGCCTTTTTATCCATTAACATGTCGTTATTCCAAAATCTATAACAACTTTTTATATCTATTACATTACAGTCTATTATAGCCTGGTGAATGGAAAGAACTGACATTGGAATTTTCCAACCCAATTTCAGTCACATTCATGACCTAGTAATGGTTCACCTCAGCTATGTGTTATCAAGAAACAGTTATCCGTATAGATCTATGGAAACTGACTACTATGGAAGTAGTAAAATTTGTGTATGATAGTTGTTTTATTGCTAAGATTTACAAAAAGTACAATCCAAAATCATCCTGTCTTGTCTTTTAATGTCTGCTGTATAGATCTTTATTGTGTTGAGAAATTAAAGAACCAGGAAGACAATACACAATCTCTATCACTACTTGCAGAAAGTATTTATCCCAGACGAGACAAATTCAACTCTAACTACTGTTCAAACATTCAATCCACAATGCCAATAATTTATTGTTTCAATCCTCTACAAAATCACACATCTTCAAAACTTTTCTAGGAGTTTTCATAATGAATTTTTTTATTGATCTTCCACAGCCACAGATGTTTTTTTAAATAATATTTTTTTCCAACCTAATACTGTATCTAGACTGGGAATATCTAGTGTATGGTTTGTTCTTTTCTTATTTTGGACATTATCTATTAACAGAAAATTCCTCCTATGCTTACAATCACTAATTCTGTAAAACAAGTGATTTAAAATTACTCAGTTCATTTTGAAAATCAAATGGGGTTCAATAAGACAATATGGGCATATGCTATGCAGTGTGCAATGAGGTAAATTTTGCCAAAACAGCTTACTATCAAGGAATTCCAACTGCCAAGGTTTTTATTTTAATGAGGTCATTTTAATATTAGATCTTTGTTAGTTGAGCGATTAAAGCATTGGACATTTGACAAGAATAACCCTGGGTCAAATCCTGGCATGAGCCTTTGCGATTTTGCATGCCTCTTTTACATTTGTAACAGGTAGTGCCTGTGGGGCTGACAAGTGATGACTAACTTCCCAAATGGTATAAAAAAAAATCTGGGTCCAGCAATGTACACATTGGCATACAAATATAAAAGTATTGAATGAATATGAAGAAGTATAGACGGAATCGTTGCTGTCCAGGACAATTATCCTACCAAGCATTATATTTCAAATAAATATAACAGTATGTTAGTCAATACAAACTTACAACCAATATTTAGATACGTGAACTCCTCAAATGACCGAACCATTGTGCCAAGTGGACATTAAAGGTCACCGGAAAAGGTTCATAAATTTTTTAAATAATGCAAGTAATTATGTCAACATATCCTTTCCATAAGTATAATACGAACTAGAATGTCAATATTACCTGCAACAGGTAAATTTCAACATTAGTAATTTCCGCCCTTCTCTGTGGGTAGTCGTAACTTTCCGTAAATAAACAATCTGTGTCGTCATTTTAGTCCTTCTGCTCATATTCTAGTCTATATTTTTATGTGCAGAAGTTATGACTACCCACGGAGAAGGGCGGAAATTACTAATGTTGAAATTTACCTGTTGCAGGTAATATTGACATTCGGGTTCGTGTTATACTTATGGAAAGGATATGTTGACATAATTACTTGCATTATTCAAAAAAAAATCGATGCTTTTCCGGTGACCTTTAAACTTTTGTTTTCTATACTTTTCATGCTAAAAATCAATTTCTATTTAACATTATATACAAAGGAAATTATGAGAACTGAGAGGGTTTACCTGCATTACAAAATTGTACACATTAAATTACAACTTATGCCATTTCAGTCTTGAAATTATATAAGTAGTGCCAAACTTTGGAATGAATTACCCAGAGATATTAGAGAGCATACACAACTATCTCAATTTAAATCTAAACTAAAGATTCATTTAGAAAATTATATAAATAAAATCATGTGTTTACCATTGTGTAAATTTCCTTGTACAGTGCTTATAAATTACTATTATTATAAATATAATGTAGCTCTTTAAAAATGTAAATTATAATAATAAGCGGTAAACTTCATTTTTTTTACTACCAGATAAGTAATTTCTATACATGTTATAGGGTGTTTTCCAGGGAACTTAATGGATTTATTGATCAAATTTTCTGTCTGAGATATTCTTCTATTATGTACAGGTACATCACAAAATTTGAAATATCTTTTTGATTTTGTACATAATTTAACATGTTAATGTTAATGTCAAGAAGAAAAGTTGTTTGGTCCCTGAAATGAATGTATACCTAGAAATGTCAAGTAATCTGGAAACAACCTATACATAGGACAGAGTAACATACTGACCTAGTGTTAATATAACATTTAAACAACCCTTCACCAACCATTTATACTCAATACATCTCTGTATCATGTATTCTTATATTATCGATATTAATATTCTATCATTCATCAAATATTGGATTAAGGAGGATCATCAGACATATATGATAATCTAAAACAATAAAACTGGTAGTATAGAGGATTAAGATTGTGTACTAGTATTGTAGTATGACCACCATCTTTAGGTACAAACTAACATTTCATGTATGTTTACTACTGACAGACTAGAAGTGAGCTTAGACGACCACCAACCAAAAGGAGGCATAGCAAATAGCCCTACTGCTTACATTTATAGTATGACAAATACTTAAAACTAGACTTTCTTCAATATGCTTGTGGGCAATATTCATCCTGACCAGGGTTCACTAATGAGGTCAAATTCCTCACACTATCCAATAATCTAGCATAATGGTTTTGCACATTAACATTTAAAATTCATTAGAAATTCAGTGTAATCTGATTTAGTGAAATAAACAAAGAAATTGACACTGTTGTCATGTCTTTTACTTATTTGAATTTCCTTGCCTGCAAATATACTTTAAGATCGATTCTTCACCCAGTCATTGACCGACAAACAAAACTTTAATAATAAGGTCTGATCTACTACATATCTATATTTTATATTTAAACTACCTTCAGGATTCTCTACAAGCTTATAATATAATATTTGTGGAATGTCAAGCAAACCCAACAGTGAATTCAGAATGATTTCAAACTGGAGTCTTGCAGCTACCCTAAAGTGATTAAATGGGATTGCTTTATGTAATTTAGCAAAAAGAAATTCAGAAATGAATCACAAATGCTTTTAATTCAGTTTGACAATGAGATAAGACTTCCTTGTCCAGCCATTATTTATACATACTAACAAATCACCAAGACACAATCACAAGATAAACCAAGTAGAAAAAATTCAATTACACGATAGTCCTCATTCTATTTAACTTTTAACGAGAAAAGATAAAAGACATAGACAATTCTGAGATTCTTCACATGTGCAATGAAGGATTTAACGAGAAAAAAGAAACTAGGTAATGAGCATGGAGCAAATATGTCCCTCCTTTCAAACAAATACAACCAACTTCTGGTGCACAAACTTACTACTAATCTATCAGTTCATCAAATTTCTACTCACGTTATTTCTTCACTTGTTACATATAGTGTCTATTTGTTTTTGGGTGAACTGGATTGGTATCCAAGACGATTTGTTCATTAATCTCTGAATACTACAGTTCCATGGTCTCAAACCCCAAAATAGGTCACTACCAAAAAAGTAGCCACAAAAATAAATTATATTCTATGCTGAATAATTCATTGCCTTCCCAAAAATAATCTTTATATCAATCATGAGTTTAATAATAACTTAATATAAGACTACCATAAATGTCATTCTTATTCAGATACTATCATAACGTCTTTATTATTCAGATACTATCTTATTCCTAATGTCTTTATTATTCAGATACTACATGTACAACAGCATTATTATTCAGATGCTACTGTCTTTATTATTTAGATACTACCTTGATGTAACAATTATTCAGATACCACTAAATGTCATTATTATTCAGAAACTACAATAAACTTCCTCGCTATTCGGATCATTTATTAGACTAAATGTCATTATTATCAACAATTGTTAAATTGTAAGGTTTATTTTTTTTTAAATTCGGCTTTTGAGAAATAGTTTCTCGTAAAAAAAATGTGGTTGATTTACTAAGTGAATATGACTCATTTCCCAAACAAAATATGTACTCATTCTTGAAAAGGAAATGAATTATCAAATGCGTTATACAACACTGGTATTGTAATGTCAGCAATGTTTGACTCATTTCACAAAAACTGTATGAAGAAAACATTATTGTAAGCTTATTCTTTCTAGAAAACGATATCAGAGTTAAACATGATGTTTGTTTTATACAATACTATCAGACCAGACATCTTTGTAGCAAAGTATATGCACAATGATGAATTACTTAACTGATTGGCACGTAGACAAAGTCACCAAGACATTTGATAGTAATGTAATGTTTAAAATGGGCGTCCCCGTGATCAGGACTTGTTGGCAAATAGACAGTACGATGTAAAAGGTAAACAATAACAAATACAATCAATGTTCATATTTATTGTTATTCACACATTCAAATAACATAGCATATAAATATACGCTACAAGCATATTCCACATCAGTTGATATATATTCCCATAAGCAGTTCATCTGTTTGACTCTTTAATAGGGGATGGGTGACATGAAATAAAATGAAATTGGGTTTAACGTCCTACGTTTCTGCACTAATCGTTACCAGGCTCTCTGACATGCATCACTGACAAGGGGAAACCACACTGGAATATCCTGAGAAACTTTCTCTGCCAGCACTGTAATTAACCCCGGGACATCCTGGTTTATTCTTGCATCAACATATTTTCATCGAAAGGTATAATATTTGTAAAGATCAGGAAAAATCGAATTGTTGACTCTTAAATTGATTGTCAAAAATGTCTTCCCTTGAACTGAAGCATCTTGAAAGATACAATGTCTTTTGTAAAAAATATATGTATTCCAATCAATAGTTATAACATATGTTTAGGACAGACATCGTTGATGAAATATATCTTTAAATCAACTCACTACACAGGTCTCTTAATAGACATGATGCCTGTGTTGGATGTGCGTAACAACAGATAGATCTATTAATCAATCTACTTGAACTATTTTCTTGTTTTGTTAAAGAGGTGTATTTCTACATGTAGTTTTAAATTGCTTGTACTTACACTTATATACACTTCTAGAATTAAAACTAATATTTACCAATAGTTTAAACATAATTACTAACTACTTATTTAAATAAAGATTTTCAAACTGTTATCTTAAAATCATTTTTGATCAAATAGCCAAGACACATCTATACCCTTGAGTTTAAAAGTAGTGAAATTTAAGGAGAATTTCCCAGATATATTTCAGTGAATAAAACTACGGTAGTTACTTCTTTGTGAAAGGTTGTTAAAGGGCTCTTGCGTCAGTCATATTTGCCAGTCTTCACAGATCCACCGTAAAATTTTCTGGCTGGAGAACTTAACTGCCGTCAGTCAACTTCCACGACAAAAATGTAGAATTTCAAAGAATTTTACCATGAACCTATCCAAGATCTTTGGAATATAATAAACGTATATTATAAGTTTCATTAAAATGAAATTAAAATTCTGACCTCAAATAAAAGTGAATGGATTTCTGGACGGATGAACATGGACGACAAAATAATAAGTCCATGCGAAAATGTGGGAGTATATTTTATAAATATTCCTGCTAGTATTTAATCTAATTTTTTATTACCTCTAGGAATCCAATAGGACCCTGTAAAGGATATTCCTTTAAAAATCTCTCCTCGTCCAAAAACTTGCCAGCTCTGCCATTGACTGGTGGAAGATATAATCCATAATTTAATGAATCTCGTAGATCCTGCAATAAAAAAAACATGTAATTTACGAAACAACAATTACTAAAACATAGCATTGCCAGGCCGGATACGCCCACATTTTCGAGAGATGGATAGAGAACAAGCTAAAAAGAAAGTTATTTTTCCTACAATCAAGGGCCATAATTCAGGAAATTACAATTCGATATGCGCAAATATCGAGAGGAACCGAGATCTTTGTGTTATAAACTTACATTTCAAGTTTCAACAAAATTGGATAAAAATTGTGACCTCTATAGGATCCACAACCTTGATATACCATATTTTTACGCTATTTGAGAACGAAAGGGCGGCCATTTTGTCTGTCAGTTTTGGGTCAATTTTCACGAAATCGTGACCTCTATAGGGTCCACAAGCTAAAAACGTGATTTTTCGTACAAACAGGGGCCATAATCCATGAAGTTTCGATCCGATACATGCCAATATCGAAAGCAGCCGAGATCTTTTGGAGATAAACCTATATTTCAAGTTTCGTCAAAATCGGATAAGAATTGTGACCTGTAGAGTGTCCACAAACAATTGTGGACGTCCGGACGGACAGAGGTGACGACAATATATAAAAAAAAATACATCCACCAGCAATAATTTCAAGAGCAGCAAGACCATCATTATTATGCAGTGATGTATTTTAAATCACAGCAAGTTAAGAAAGAAAAACATTAAGTTAAGAAAGAAAAACATTAAAGTACACATAAGATGGACTTGGGAACTTTTCGCTACGTGTAGCCAATGGTTACTATATCCACTTTACGGCAAGTTCACACCAATCTGATAGAAATTAATTCAGCTATCTTCACCCAAAGTCGCAAAAATAGACCTCCGGTAAAAACGACTTTGCCAATTATCGAAAACACTCTTAATCCCCTCAGATGCCTGTGACGTCACAGTGACCGAATGCATATTCGGAATATTTATTCCTTAATTACCTATATACAGTCGGCGTGTGTATTCATTAACGCCTGACTGATTCCTTAATCCCCATATCAAATAAAACAATTGACTACGTGTACCATCGTGTACAGTCCAAACGATTCGAGATACATTTTTGTCAGAAGAGTATGGTGGTTCTAATTTCCCTGAGTAAAAGAGTACAGGAGTAAAAAGATGTGGTCATGCAAAACGTATCATAAAAGTCAAACATGATTGAAACACGATTTGTAAATGACTATCCGTTATCAGAGTAGCCAACTGTATCTCGTTTTCTAGTAGCCATCGTACGGTGCCTTTCTTTCTGAAATAGACCGTACAAATGAAGTATGAAAAAATATCTCAATAAGAATGCTGATTAGATAATTATATTTTTCTACGCCGGCCAGATCAAAGACATCACACTAGGTGGAACGTGTGCGTAATACCCCACGAACGAACTAATCCTAACACTTTAATTGTATAATATAATTAAGTTTTACTCATCAGTTGTTTATAATTATTATTTACCCATTAATCAATTATCTTTGCTCACCGACGTTTTTGTAATAAAGTAGCCTCGTATTACTTGTTGATTTAATTGACTTGATATGAAATCTGAATATAAATTATTTGATAGATAAACGTTTGTGATAAGATAAGGTTATAATGTTTAACATCGTTTAACTTTTTTTATAATAAAGGTATTTTACAATTACATTGACAGTATAATCACTCACCAAACGGCATCAGGAACTCCACGTATGATCAAGTGTAATTGATATTCATGTCCATAAATCCCGTTGCAATTTTCACGTGAAAGTTTAACCTCATTTACTACGCCCGTAGTGCATGGAACCGTACATGGTAGTAAGATTCCCAGCGTTGATTCGCTGAGAAATGAGGGCGATCTATTGTTATACATAGTCATCGGAAAATTCCATATTCGCTAAGAATTTTAAAAGTTGTAGTTTGTGTATAGAAATGGTTATTATCATTATAGCTAATAATAAATATATCGACCAATGACTGGCACCATTTGTATTTCTGTACTTATAGAGAATAGTTTGTGATATCAAGTATTACAGGGTATCCAAATTACCGGTAAATGCGTTAATTGCTTGGGTCATCTTCATTTGACACGTGGCCTATTTAAAAAAAGGCAGCTTAAATGGATCTATGGCATGATACGGCATTTTAAATTCACTCTAAAATATTCCAATCACAAATGTCTAATCTATAACAATGTAAGATAATTAGGCCAGTCACGTGGTAATTGGACCGTCACTAGACGCTTGTCAACTGGTGGTGTGTATTGATAGTGCTATATTGTACACACAGTGAGATATTGTATAGATAATGTATACTATGTGTAGTGCCTATGACGTAACCAGCCAATCAACCGGATTGAGGTCGTAATTCAAAAATGAAAAGCATTTTGGTGTGTCGGATGCGTAAATGTTAACAGCAGAATTAATTTTAATCAGATTGGTGTGAACTTGCCGTAAAGTGGATATAGTAACCATTGGCTATACGTACATGATTTTTTGTCTTATGTGGTCTTTAAGAGCTCTGACCTGAGAGCATTTTCAAGGTTTGTGAATACCTCTCACAGTGTTTCATTTAATTAAACCTAATCCTACTCAAACACTGCTGGACAGACGGAAGATTCCTGTAACAATTTATGACTGGTTAAAGATACATTATGGGAGATAAGATAAAGAGCTGGCAGTTGTGACTATAATAGTTAAAAACTAGATAATGTAAAGGCAATTTGCTGAAAATTTCAGTCAAATTGATCCACTATGAACCGAGAATTAAGCGACTTAAATTTCGGCCTAGCCTTGATCATCATTACTAAAGTCTGTACGATAAAAAACATAGTCTCGATCATCATTTCATGATTAAATTATGAATGGAAGTTGAGCAGCAAATGGGATCATAATCCAGTAAATATCGCAGGCTAGCGATGCCATCGAGAGTTGATTATGGTCTTGATAAGTTAATTAATGTCTAATTAATAATTTAGATAACATTTCAGGCCTAAAGAAAGACCTGCAATTGGCAGATTTAACTCTTGCATAATGTATGTTTAAGAGTCGGGTTAACAACCAATCCATTATAGCGTAACAAATCAATTCAATCAGGTTTAACCAGAGCTCTAAAATAAGTTACTGTAAACGAGTATAATGGCAAGCTTGATATACCAGATGATATACACTATTTGTGTACGAGGGGTGGCCAATTTGTCCGGCAGTTTTGGCCCCATTTTCACAAAATTCGAACTCAATAAACATTACGGTGTAACAGTGATATATTCAAATGTTTTTTTCTAAATCTGATAATAATTGTGACCTCTGGAGGAACAACATGCTAAAAAAATGATATTTCATACAATCAGGGGCCATAATTCAGGAAGTTACTATCCGATATGCCCGAATATCGAAAGGAACAGATCAAAATTGTGACCTCTAGAGGGTCCACAACTTTGATATACCAGATGTTTACACTAATTGTGTACGAGGGGCGGCCATTCCGTCAGGCAGTTTTGATCTGATTTTCACGAAATTAGATCTCAACCAAATTACGGTGTAACAGTGATATATTTAAACTTTTTTTTAAATCGGATAATAATTTTGACATCTAGAGGGACCTCAAGCTAGAAATGCGATTTTTCGTACAATCAGGGGCCATAATTCAGGAAGTTACTATCCGATATGTGCGAATATCAAAAGGAACTAAGATCTTTGGGTTATAAACTTACATTTAAAGTTTCATCAAAATCAGAAGAAAATTGTGACCTCAAGAGGGTTCACAACCTTGATATACCATATTTTTACGCTATTTGAGAACGAGGGGCGGCCATTTTGTCTGTCAGTTTTGGGCGAGATTTTCACGAAATTCGAACTCAACCATCCTTGGGGTGTAACAGAGATATACTAAAACGTTTTTTTTAAATCGGATAAAAATTATGACCTCTATAGGGTCCACAAGCTAAAAACGTGATTTTTCAAACAATCGGAGGCCATAATTTAGGAAGTTACGATCCGATATGCACGAATAGTAAAAGGAACTGAAATCTTTGAGTTATAAACTTACATTTCAAGTTTCAACAAAATCGGATAAAAATTGTGACCTCTATAGGGTCCACAAGCTAAAAACGTGATTTTTCGGTCCGATACATGCCAATATCGAAAGCAACCAAAATCTTTTGGCTATAAATCTATATTTCAAGTTTCGTCAAAATCCTATAAGACATGTGACCTGTAGAGTGTCCACAAACAATTGTGGACGGACGGACAGGGGCGACGACAATATACGTCCACATGAAAATGTGGGCGTATAAAAACTAAGTCATAACCATTGTGATGGGGAAACACAAAAGTTATTCAACAGAGAAATTTCAAATTAGCAAAAGGCACAAATACTATTATAATATGATGACTTGTTTACCAAATTTCATAAAAATATCTTGAGCAGTTTATGAGATATGCTCCTGAACCTAACATAGTAACAAAATGAGATATGCTCCTGAACCTAACATAGTAACAAAATGACAATCGCCTTAAAAGATAATGTCAATCCAAGGTTCATCTTCTTTCAACAATATACCATGCAAGAACTGTCAAAAATCCAGCTGGAGATTCTATAATGCAAACTGAAACAATTTTGTAATCTAAGTCAATTACTAAAAAATCATCAGAAATACACAAAATAGTGCAAAAAATTATTTTGACCTACAGGTGTGGTGGGTGTTGTACACCACACAAAGGTATGTTTTGTTGCTTTGAAACACCTCATACCGCTTCCTTTTCAGGAAGTGCACACTGCAGTTTGATTCTGTGCTTCTCAGATTCAGTGTACTGTCGACGATTGAGTGGGAGTCTCGCAGTTTAAGTGGCAGGCGAGTATTTATCCTCTTTTCAAAATACCAGTACCTACTTACACATGAAAATCTCAATCTTTGTGGAGACAACACAAGTTTATAGAAATTATTATCCATATCAACAAACATAATACAATTCAATCATCTTTCACACATAAAATACATTCAGCTCCGTTTTCTTGCAAAAAATCAACACTTCACTTATAAAATCTTTGATTTCACTGGGATCAACAAGATGGTAACTAAAGTGTTTTGTGTAGAGATATGCGAAATCACTTCTAGTTCTACCACCAAATCAACTCACAAAATTATTAACAAATATTGACAGTTTATCTGTATTTCACACTACAAACTAGAAGGAAATTTATGTTCTTCTGGCAAGGGCTCCACAAACAATGTTAGAAGTCAAAAACTGTTGAAATTTAAATCTAATTTTAGATTAATTGCTTGAAATATAAATCTTATGTCAATGGTATTTGAATGTGTAGTTTAAACAATTCTTGTAGGATTAATTCACAGCTACGTATATGTGGCATGTTGGCCAACTGTGATATAATGACTATTTGCCGAACTTCAAATCCTGTTTAAAAGGAAATACACCCACAAACTATAGCCATTGACAGCTGCTTATCCAAAAGGAGAACATTAATGTTGACCAAACTTGATAAGGATCCTTTTAAGAAATCTGATCTCTATTGTGTTTACAAGTTTCTCTGGACACAATATATCTCTATAACATAACGTCCTAGAAGTAGAATGCTGAAAATCAATGTGTATGCTTCCCATCAAATTTGAAAATCAATAGGGTTCATCACCTGGCTGAAAACTTTAGGGTTCATCTTCTCACAGTCCAAATGATTCATATAAAATCTGATAAAAATCCATTAACAAGCAGTTGCCATGCAAGATACACTAACATTTTGCAATAGATGAACAGAGAACCAGCTAAAAAAAAAAGCGATTTTTCGTACCATCAAGTCCCATAATCCAGGAAGTTAGGGTCCGATAGGCACATGTATCGAAAGGAATCCAGATCTTTGGGATATAAACATATATTTTGAGTTTCATCAAAATCGGATAAAAATTGTGACCTCTAGTGTTACATGTACATATACTATTCAAAAAAAGTAGGGGATATTTGATTTTGGGGGCATAATACTAAAATATGCAAATGACTACGAAAAAAGTCACTATAGAACCTAACAGAAGAAACATTTCCAGTTACATGTGACGCCCAAACGCACCAATAGCTACCGCATGGATTGCAGGTGATGCTTGGGATCATCATGGGGGTCCAACCCAAGATTTGCACGACTCTGACTTTGAATGTTACAGTCATTGTGGCATTGAATTCCAGGGTGGAAACATCAGTTTAATTGTTTTAGTGACCAGAAAACAAATTTTGATATGCGTCGGCTTACCCAAAATGAAAGGTTACGTGCCCTTGGCATGCTACAGATCGGCACAACACAGGCGGTTGTGGCGCGACGATGAATGTTTCTCAGTCTGTCATAAGCAGGCTATGGTCCAGATACCGTGATACACAATCTGTACAGGACAGACCACGCTCAGGTCGACCAAGGGCGACAACTCAAGCCCAGGATCGATTTATCCGTACCTTGGCCTTGAGAAATCGTGTCATCACAGCAAATCAGATCAGCGCTCGTCTTCAAACAGACACTGGTGTGAGAGTGAGTGGCCAGACGATTCGGAATCAACTGCATAGGGGTCACCTTCGCGCCCGACGTCCTCGCGTGATCCCTTGTTTGAGAGATCATCACATTCAGGCAAGACGTCGTTGGTGTAGGGATCGTCAACACTGGGATAATCGACGCTGGAGCAATGTGATGTTTTCAGATGAGTCAAGGTTCACTGTTGATTTTTTGGACAGACGTAGGAGGGTGTGGCGTCGTCGAAACGAGCGCTTCCAAGACGTTAACGTCATCAGACATGATCGATTTGGGGGTGGTTCTGTTATGGTGTGGGGAGGCATCACTGTTGCTGGAAGAATGGCTTTACATGTTGTTGCAGGGCGTGTTACAGGCCAGTACTACCGGGACAACATCTTGGCAGTCCATGTTGTGCCGTTCGCACGACGTCATGGCCGCCGTTTCATCTTCCAGGATGACAACGCAAGATGTCACAGGGCCAGGATCGTTACAGGTTACCTCCAACTACAGAACATCACCACATTACCTTGGCCAGCACTGAGTCCCGACCTCTCCCCCATCGAGCATGTCTGGGACATGCTTGGACAGAGGTTACGTCAACGTCAACAACGTCTTGCCAATGTCCAAGAACTTGCTGCTGCGTTGCAACAGGAATGGGACAATCTGGACCAAAATGACCTTAGACGTCTCATTAGGAGTATGCCACGTCGGATCAATGCTTGTTTGGCAAACAGAGGAGGATTTACCCGTTACTGACTTGGTTGTGATGCTGTGGTAACTTTGCTGTTTGACCCCGGGTATCATTTTACCCTTATAATGGTCAGTCTGTGCCTTACTTAGTCTAACGATCATTTGGAATAAATCGATGAATGTGAACTTCATTTCATTTTGTCATTTGTTTCTTCGTCAGTTTCATTAGGTGACTTTAATAACACTTAAAAATCAAATATCCCCTACTTTTTTTGAATAGTATATTTTTTACAATATATGCGTGCGGGGAGCAGCTTTTCTGTCAGGCAGTTTGGGCCCAATTTTCACGAAATTTGAACATAGCCGTCACTATGGTGCAACAGTGATATATTCGAAGCTTTTTTAAAATCGGATAAAAATTGTGACCTCTAGAGGGACCACAAGCAAAAAACAGGATTTTTTGTACAATCAGGGGCCATAATCCAGGAAATTGTGGTCTGAAATGCACGAATATTGAACGGAACTGAGATCTTTAGGATATAAACATATATTTTAAGTTTCAGCAAAACTGGACAAAAATTGTGACCTCTAGAGTGTCCACAAGCCAGAAACTTCATTTTTCGAACAATCAGAGAATGACTTAAAAAAAAAAAAAGAAAGCAATTTTTTGTACAATCAGGAAATTAGGGTCTGATAGGCGCAAATATTGAAAGGAGCCCAGATCTTTGGGATGTAAACATATATTTTAAGTTTCATCAAAATCGGATAAAAATTGTGACCTCTAGAGGGTTTACAACCTTGGCATGTGGAGCGGTCTTTTTGTTGGGCAGTTTCGTTTCGATTTTCCTGAACTCAACCTTCCTTATGGTGTAACGTTGATATAAGCTAAAAATGTGATTTTTAGTACAATCAGCGGCCATAACCCAGGAAGTTATGGTCTGATATGTAGGAATATCGAAAGGAACCGAGATCTTATGAGTTATAAACATATATTTCAAGTTTGATCAAAAAAAGGTAACTACTGTGACCTCTAGAGTGTCCACAAGCTAAAAACGTGATTTTTCGTACAATCAGGGACCATAATCCATGCCAATATCGAAAGGAACCTATACGAGGTGCACCTATTTTTTATTACGTACGAATTTGAATATTTTGTTGACATGTGATTCTTAATTGTGGTTTGAAGACGCCTGCTTGAATAACAATAAGAGTTATGCCCCTTTATTTTCGGGAAAAAATGTTCAACAAAGAAAATTTTGAAATTCCATCACTGGTCCACATGAAAATGTGGGTGTATAAAAAATTATGACCTCTAGAGGGTGCACAAGCCAAAACCATGATTTTTTGTACAACGGGCCATAATCCAGGAGGCAGGAAGTTACAGTTCAATATGTGCGAATATCGAAGGGAACTGAGATATTTGGGATATAAACATATATATATACTCTTCAAAAAAAGTAGGGGATATTCAGAAACAATACAAAACTGCAGAAATGCACTGCTGTTTTTATTAGAGGTAACCAGTGTATGTAGTTCATATGGGCAGCTTATCTGACGGCCCCATTTCACTCGCAAAGAGACACACCGTCAAAAGTGAAAATGGATGTTTTTGATTTTTGTCTTAATAATATTAATGAGTAATTGCTCCACCAATCCTCAGACATTCAGTAATTCATCGTGGCATGCTCCTAATCAACCGTCCAATCACGATTTGGGGCAATCTGACCCACTCCTCTTGCAGTGCCACGCTAAACTGTAAATCTTATGCAAGAACCGATAGAAAAGCAAACATGGATAGATAAACCAGCATGCGGCAGTTTTCATCAACCCTTCCTTGAAGTGTGAAATTTGACAATGAACCCCTCCCACTATGGCGCTATTGCGTGTCGCATGTACAGCTCAGTGGTTCTGTTGGGGCGATAAGTTCTTCATCTGTGAACATACTCTCAAAGCATGTTAAAATGTCCATGGCTATTTATCATATCGCAACCTGCATAGGTATTTGCATTTCAATATCCCCTACTTTTTTTTAAGAGTATATTATAAGTTTCATCAGAATAAAAATTGTGACCTCTAGAGGGTTCACAACCTTCATATTACATACTTTTACACTATTTGTGTACTGAGAGCCCATGGCAATGTAAATGTAGTGTTTGTTGTTTATAAGTCCTGTTAAGGTATAGCTCTTGCAACCCGTTTTCTCATGGTAGCTGGTTTTGTCTAAATTGCTCTTTTTCAGTAGAATTTTCTGTATCTACCCACTATTATTGCAAGTATATGCATTTACAATTGCTCTGTACTGATATGGAAGAAAATTCAGAGTGCAATCTTTGTCAGACAAGCTGTCACTTTTTCCCCCGATGTTATATTGAAATTTTAAATAGTATTATAATGTGGTTATTGTAATTTATTAACATTAATGACAAGAAATCAGCAGTTTTACTTACCTTTGAGAATGCTGCTAGAACCCGTTGTTTGGCCTGCCATACTGTATCATCTAACTCAAACTGAAGACATTTCTACAAATATCAATACCTCATGAAATTAAACTATATCAGACTTAAATTTTAAAAATAAAGATTACCAAGAAATGTGTACACAGGACATGGTTTCCGTCCCATCCAAACGACTATACATTGTCCCTTTTCAGGCCCTGTCCCTTTTCAGGCCCTCCGTCCTACACCATTGACAAGGGGGAACCACGCCGGAAAATCTCGTTGAAGTTTCTCGGCCAACACTGAGATCAAACACAGGACCTCCAGGTTAACAAGGTAACGTCTTACTCCCTAAGCCACTGCGTCTCCCACCAGGCTAATGAAGACGTCATGCAGTGTGCAATTAGTGAAATTTTGTGTCATAGAGGTGCTACAACCTACTCTTATTTCAAATCACCTCCAGTTTAATAAAATACATTGCATAATTTTCAAAATACACCAACAAATAAAAAAGTTCTCTCTTGAAAATTTAACCTCTTTATTTCCATTTTCGACAAAGTCTGACACAAAAAAAGCTTTTACGACGTGTTGAGAGAAACCAATGAAAGCAGAGTGAATAAAGTTTGACAACCACGTGTGCAAGGAAAACAAAGCGCGAACAAGGGCCTTAAACATAGGCCTGAAATGTTTTCTAAAGTATTAATTAGACATTAATTAACTTATGCAGACCATAATCAACTCTTGATGTCAACGCTAGCCTGCGATATTTATTGGATTATGATCCGATTTGCTGCTGAACACGCATTCATGATTTAATCATGAAATGGATAATCGAGACTATGTTTTTTTATCGTACCGACGATGATCGAGGCTAGGTCAAAATTTCAATCGCTTAATTCTCAGTTCATAGCAGATCAATTTGACTGAAATTTTCAGCAAATTGCCTTTACATTATCTAGTTTTTAACTATTATAGTGAGAACTGCCAGCTCTTTATCTAATATCTCATAATGTATCTTTACCTCTAAAACTATAAGACATTTAACAGAAGTTTGATAGGCTTCTTTAATTCCTTAGCCTAAAAAATTCTTAAAAATTTCTAACTGAGCAGATGATAAATTTTTTGTTATAAGAGGATTCACAAGATTATAAAAGATAGGTTGCCAGGCAACAAAACATACGCCCACAGCAGCTAAATCGTCCGGGGAGTCAACAAGAGTTGTCACATATTTTTATATCAAAATTCATTGAAAATCAATATACTTGTTTGTCTCAAGACTTTAAACTCTGTGTATCAATCTGAAGTCAATCGGATGATAACTTTAGCCTCTAGAGCGTCACAAGATTTTTCAAAGTGATCAAGGGCCATAACTTTGGCAGTAATTATCAAAAATCATTGAAAATCAATATAATTCTTCGTCTCATGACCTCAAACACTGTGTATCAATTTAAAGTCAATTGGATATTAACTTTATCCCAGTGATGGGATTTTGCCCGTATATTCCGGACTTGTCCGAATCTTTTTTCCAAACGCCCAAATTGTCCGACCCGGAATATGCCCAATCGGACATCAAGACACGGTGAATAATATTCAAAATTCCGAAATTAATATAGTTTACTGAGTGTATAACTACCACTCAACCAGATTATCGTCGATAATACGCTGGATTGATTAGGTAATTAAGTGATCAACGTATTTATTGTGTTATACGGTCTATAAACCTACCTTGATTAACTACTTAATCTGCCTTGATTGACTGACTTAATCCTTTGTCAGACAATTCATCAATCTAATCTTAAACGGAAGCCATTGTTTCCCCTTTTTCGGACTATTCATCAATCCATTATAATTTTAATCTTCGTTTGTTAACCTCGTGGTTTCTACATTGGACATTTTAATCGCATTGATGTGAGCCGACAATATGTATAAACTAGTCATAGAAGTCACATATTGTAAGAGTATATAACGCCCAGATCAATAGACATTTCTAGCACGCTTTTACAGCACTCGGGAAACCTCGGCAGATTCTGTTACTCTACATCTAGCTTCGGCTGCATGACGGTAAGTGATATGTACCTACGAACTTGCCGGTTTTAGAAAGAAGTTATCAAAATTGCGTCGTTCGAAGTGTGTTTAGAATTTTCAGAGCAAAGTTGTCCTTGTTTGAAGAAAATCTGATTAGGTACATATAACTTACCGTCATACAGCGGGGCTGTTTGTAGAGTAACGGAATCTGCCGAGGTTTGCCGAGTGCTATCCCGGTATTAGAAATCTCGCGAGACGCGTGAAATTATGAAATGAATACATGACTAAATTCACGCTTCTAATGTCGAAGAAAAGATTTTATTTTGATGGCATATTCTCGGATTTACGATCATATTTTGAATGGGGTTTATGTTTTTAAATAAAGAAATAAGTAACCTAGGCAATGTTGACGAATATGTTGATTGAAATAGTGTAAGTACTTAATTGTTTTAGACGATAGCGCGTGCTAGCGATTATTTAGCGGATGGTGTCATTCCTCGGGATATCATATTCTTACCCTCTGTACATAAGTCGTAACGGAGTTTAAGACGAATGCCGGACTTCTGCTGAAAAATGTAGCGACTTATGACCCGAAAATACGGTAAATTTGGAGGAATTTGAAACAGTACAGATCGGCAGCAGTCGGCACGCTTTCATTCTATCGTATTACGAATTTTGTAGGAATATTACTGACATAAATTTGAATACCGTACGGGAATTTCATATGAAAAATAACGAGGTGCACTTATTTTTATATTCTGGACGAATTTGAATATTTTGTTTACACGTGATTTTCGTGTGTGGTCTAAAAACTGCCATTTTAAATAACGATAAGAGTTATGTCCCTTTATTTTCGGTAAAAATGTCCGACAAGATAAATTTTGAAATCCCATCACTGCTTTATCCTATAGAGCATTTACAAGATTTTTTGAAGTGATCAAGGGCCATAAATCTGGCAGTAATCATCAACCAGCAGCTGCCAGGCAGAATACGCCCACATTTTCCAGAGATGGATAGAGAACAAGCTAACAAGAAAGTGATTTTTCCTACAATCAAGGGCCATAATTCAGGAAATTACAATTCGATATGCGCAAATATCGAAAGGAACTGAATGAACTGCAGTCGTCCTCAGGGTGTAACGGTGATATAATAATACGTTTTTTTAAATCGGATAAAAATTATGACCTCTATAGGATCCACAAGCTAAAATGCAATTTTTCGTACAATCAGGGGCCATAATTCAGGAAGTTACGGTCCGATATGTGCGAATATCGAAAGGAACCAAGATCTTTGGGTTATAAACTTATATTTCAAGTTTCAACAAAATCGGATAAAAATTGTGACCTCTATAGGGTCCACAACCTTGATATAACATATTCCTATGCTATTCCAGAACGAACGGCGGCCATTTTGTCTGTCAATTTTGGTCCGATTTTCACGAAATTCAAACTCAGTCGTCCTTAGGGTGTAACGGTGATATAATAATACATTTTTTTAAATCGGATAAAAATTATGACCTCTATAGGGTCCACAAGCTAAAAACACGATTTTGCGTACAATCAGGGGCCATAATTCAGGAAATTACGGTCCGATATGCGCGAATATCGAAAGGAACCGAGATCTTTGGGTTATAAACTTACATTTCAAGTTTCAACAAAATCGGATAAAAATTGTGACCTCTATAGGGTCCACAACCTTGATATTCGAATTCAGTCGTCCCTAGGGTGTAACGGTGATATAATAATACGTTTTTTTAAATCGGGTAAAAATTATGACTTCTATAGGGTCCACAAGCTAAAAACGTGATTTTTCGTACAATCAGGGGCCATAATTCAGGAAGTTACGGTCCGATATGCACGAATATCGAAAGGAACCAAGATCTTTGGGTTATAAACTTACATTTCAAGTTTCAACAAAATCGGATAAAAATTGTGACCCTATAGGGTCCACAACCTTGATATACCATATTCTTACGCTATTTGTGAACGAATGGCGGCCATTTTGTCTGTCAATTTTGGGCCGATTTTCACGAAATTCGAACTCAGTCATCCTTAGGGTGTAACAGTGACATAATAGACCGTTTTTTTAAATCGGATAAAAATTATGACTTCTATAGGGTCCACAAGCTAAAAACGTGATTTTTCGTAAAATCAGGGGCCATAATTCAGGAAGTTAATGTCCGATATGCGCAAATATCGAAAAGAACTGAGATCTTTGGGTTATAAACTTACATTTCAAGTTTCAACAAAATCGGATCAAAATTGTGACCTCTATAGGGTCCACAAGCTAAAAACGTGATTTTTCGTACAAACAGGGGCCATAATCCATTAAGTTTCGATCCGATACATGCCAATATCGAAAGCAGCCGAGATCTTTTGGGGATACACCTATATTTCAAGTTTCGTCGAAATCGGATAAGAATTGTGACCTGTAGAGAGTCCACAAACAATTGTGGACGTCCGGACGTCCGGACGGACAGGGGCGACGGCATAAAAATCGCTGAAAATAAATAGACTTCTACGTCTCATGAACTTAAACACTGTGTATAAATTTAAACTAAATCGGATATTAACTCTAGCCTCTAGAGTGTCCACATGATTTTTTCAAAGTGATCAAGGGCAATAACTCTGGAAGTAATTATCAAAAATCGCTGAAATTCAATAGGCTTCTTCGTCTCATGAAGTTAAACACTGTGTATAAATTTAAAGTCAATCAGATATTAACTTTAACCTCTAAAGCGTCCACAAGACTTTTTGATGTGATAAAGGGCCATAACTCTGGCAGTAATTATCGGAAATCAATGAAAATCAATAGGCTTCTTTGTCTCATGACCTTAAACACTGTGTATAAATGTAAAGTCAATCGGATATTAACTTTGACCTCTAGAGCGTCCACAAGATTTTTTGAAGTGATCAAGGGCCATAACTCTGGAAGTAATTATCAGAAATTGCTGAAAATCAATAGGATTCTTCGTCTCATGACCTTAAACACTGTGTATAAATTTAAAGTCAATCGGATATTAGAGCGTCCACAGATTTTTTGAAGTGATCAAGGGCCATTACTCTGGCAGTAATTATCGGAAATTGCTGTAAATCAATAGGCTTCTTCGTCTCATGACCTTAAACACTGTGTATAAATTTAAAGTCAATCGGATATTAACTTAAGCCTCTAGAGCGTCCACAAGACTTTTTGAAGTGATAAAGGGCCATAACTCTGGCAGTAATTATCGGAAATCACTGAAAATCAATAGGCTTCTTCGTCTCATGACCTTAAACACTGTGTATAAATTTAAAGTCAATCGGATATTTACTTTAGCCTCTAGAGCGTCCACAAGCAATTGTGGACGCAGGACCGACGGACGGACGGGGGCGACGACAATATACAACCACATTTCAATGTGGGCATATAAAAATGACTAAGGCCATGGACAATAACTTTGGAAATTATCAGAAATCACAGCCTTCTTCATCTTACTAATGTAAACAACAGAAAAAAATGTAAACAGATCAGATGAGAAATATATAGTCTGTAGAGTTTTCACTAGAAATTGTGGTCAACAGATGGAAGAGACTGCAACATATGTCCACATTGAAATTTGGGCATGTAACAAAATGAAAACAACAAATAGATGTTTATCTTATTCTGGTAAGATAATTGAGGTTAATCGTACAGGTACTTATTTTGTAATCGTTTTGATTTATTATCATTAATCTAAGCATATTCAATTTTAGGGAAGGAATATGAGACAGTTTCGCCTTGAATATGGAAGAAAGAAGGATCTGTGTACCAGACACAAGGAGTGATGAAGAATAGTAGTATAAGAAGAATTATTACCTGTATTTTGAGTTCTGGTATAGCTATCCTAATATATACTGTGCCAGACTGATTCTCTGACATAAATGAGGTATCCGCAGGTGCAGGCATTATGTATTATATACTCCATATATAGTCACGCATAAAATAAATATATATCCACACATATCCTTTATACACAAAATAATCCATTAACACAGATCACAGTTAATTACATCTGAAAAAAAACAATAATAAAATTTAAAATGTTTTCTATTTTTGAATATTACATACAGAAATCAAACATGAGCAGTTGAATAATAAGTAAAAATTAAAGTAGCTAAGTCTCTAACTCAATATCATCCAAAGTCTTCGACATTGAAAACACAAATTATTTGTCAGTTTAAATCAACATTGATAGTGTGATCTTAGTGAGAATAGATGGGCTTCTGATATCCAATTTTTAAGACAAAATAAACATTTTATCATCGGTACATGATGTACCATAATGCATTTCTGCTGCATTTGTAACAAGAGACTCGAAGACCAAGGCAAGACATATTCCACGAATTATGTCAAACGGTGACGCCATAGACTGGAATAAGCAGACGCTAGAAATTGCCATTCGATTGAGACTTCTGGCGTATTTTGCCGAACATAACTGATTACAGTAAAAACAAAAACGATTGAATGTAAATCAGTTTATATAAATTCATATTACATTATTATATTCGTTGCAACCCATTTGTGTCAATTTCTAGGTTCTAAGTATTAGTGTTTTGGCTCCTTTAAAAGTTTAACTTATATCACTTAGAGAAATCAAAACTGATCTGTCAAAAAATGAACTAAAAATTGGAAGTCCAACTGATCTATACACCGTTAAAAGAAAACAAAATAGATTCACCAAATAATAGCAAAAACTCAAAGTTTGCTTCCATCTTGTTTTTCACTTTCATTTACATAACTTAACAATTTGTAAAGGTGAAATCAAGAGGTATTATTCATATTGTATGAAGAGGAAACTTACATAGTTTTATCTTCATTAGTAAATAAACACAATCACTAAACGATTAAAATAACTTATTTGTCATAAAAAATAATGGCAAGTTGTATACATTTATATGTCACAAATAAACCTATGTGAAAAGTTAAAAGAGGGTTAATTGTTCTTTCGATCCTCAACCAAAAATAAACATAACACACTAAAAACAACCTGGGAACCTCAAATTAGAAACCAACCAAACACTGAGCCATAGGAAAGTAAACATAACACTTAGTTCTGGAACTGATCACAAATTTGATGTTTAAGACTTAAAACTAAAAGTGATGGATCTGCTATTTAAAGAACAATGGAAAATTTGTGTTTAAATTATTCAATTGTTTGATTTTACATGAGAAGGAGTAAGATCATGTTTTCTTGATTTCTTCCCTCAGATCAAGAGCCATAATTAAATAACGATATCCAAGTGACCCAGTTGCTTTGAGTGGTCACTGTACCCTATTCCTCATAATCTCTAACCTATATATTAACAAAACAAAGATTGCCAATCAACTAATCATGGATGATAACTTCAATGTGGTCAAGGGCATTGACTCCTACAGTAAGATACTAAGAATCAGAAATTGTTGAAGGGTAAAAAATGGAAATTGTTGAAAATCTAGGCTTTTTGTCAAATGAACATAACGTCATAAGTTAAAATACAGTATACAAATTTCAAGTCAATCACATTGATACTTTGCCGACTGTTGAGAGACCACAATATGACCTTATTTCAATGTGAAGATATAAAAAAGAGCGCATTCATAGAACAAGCTTTATTTTTGTTCCACAGCCTAACTAATAAACTTTGAAATCTTCAAAGAAAATCAATTCTCATAATAAAAGTCAATATATACAAATATAAACTCTCAATCTATGAACAACTATCTCATCTTTCAAATATCTGTCTGACTTTGAGAAAACCATAAACTGGTAAGAAAGCCATCTATGTTTTTTTTTACTGTTTAACAGTGAACAAGGAAACTATTCATCAAAATAACATGGCAATACCCAGCCACGTACATGATTTAAACCATTTCAACATGGCTATTTGTTCTCTCTGAAGACTTCAATATTTGTGCAATACTCCAATGTCAAAAAGATATTTCAGAAGCATCAGAATTTATGTCAAGTGTATTTTAGGCCTGATACAGTCTGTAAGTTTCCAGTAAGTAATTTGTTTAAACAATCCACTCTACCAGGTCACACAAAGCATTACATGATATATTACCAGGATTCATTTCAACACACATTTTGTTATCAGCAACATTTAACTAAGACATACATTAAAAATGAATTCTTATCACACAAGTTCTTTCCTAATTAAAACCAAATTTTCTGAGATAGCAAATAATTCGAGAGACCTCTGTGGCACATGATAATAATGATAAAAGACTATTAGTACAGGATCAATAACTTGACAATCTTAGAGTAGACCAGCGGCTGCCAGGCAGGATACGCCCACATTTTGCAAGAGATGGATAGAGAACAAGCTCCACAAAAAGCGATCTTTCGAACAATCATTATCAAGGGCCATAATTCAGGAAGTGAGGATCCGATATGCGCGAATATCGCCAGGAACCAAGATCTTTGGGTTATAAAGATATATTTCAAGTTTCATCAAAATCGGATCAAAATTGTGACTTCTAGAGGGTACACAACCTTGATATACCATGTATTTACACTATTTGCGTACGAGGGATGGCCATTTTGTCCGGCAGTTTTGGTCCTATTTTCACGAAATTTAAATTCATCCAACATTACGGTGTAACGGTAATATATTGGAATGTTTTTGTAAATCAGATAATAATTGTGACCTCTAGAGGGACCACAAAGCTAAAAACACGATTTTGGGTACAATCAGGGACCATAATTTAGTAAGTTACGATCCGCTATGAGCAAATATTGAAAGCAACCAAGATCTTTGGGTCATAAACATGCATTTCAAGTTTCATCAAAATCGGATCAAAATTGTGACCTCTAGAGGGTCCACAACCTTGATATACCAGATGTTTACACTATTTTCGTACGGGGGGCGGGCATTTTGTCTGGCAGTTTTGGTCCGATTTTCATGAAATTAGAACTCAACCAACAATATGGTGTAACGGTGATACATTCGAACCACATGCTTTGGGTTATAAACTTACATTTCAAATATCAACAAAATCAGATAAAAATTGTAACCTTTATATGGTCCACAAGCTAAAAACATGATTTTTCGTACAATCAGGGGCCATAATCCATGAAGTTACGGTCCGATACATGCCAATATCGAAAGGAACCGAGATCTTAGGGAGATAAACTTATATTTCAAGTTTCGTTGAAATGGAATAAAAATTGTGACCTGTAGAGTGTCCACAAACAATTGTGGACGGACGGACAGACAGGGGTGACGACAATATACATATAAAAAGTTTACATTCATTTTCTTTGTCTTAAAGAGTGGATCAATTTGTCTGAAATTTTCAGTAAATTCCCTTAAAGATGGGTTCTAACGTACAAACTAGGTGATTTAATGGTATATATGGACTAAAAACATATTCAAACTAATTAATTTGTCATAATTATGCTTCAAATCCTTCTCAAACATTGTAATTGCGAAGGAATGCCCTGCTATTAAAATTCGATCAAACCAGGTCATGTTTACGTCACGTCTTGGAAGTCACAGGAAAATTCATTGCATACATAAGACGATGTTGTCTTTAATCGCTTACTATTTATTACAAATATCAAATCCTAATTAAATTCTCGGATTATCCACTACCTGCGTCTTTTTCCGTCATTTTTATCTTAGAAAGTGTTGTACGTCTATTTCTTCATAATGTTTATCAACTTGTACATCAAGCGCTCAATGTTCGCGTGTGACCTTTGACATCACCCGTGCAGAAATTCTTAATCGTCGGGCTGTTCATTTGGGGAACATTTCATTTTTGACCTATATACGCTCTGTGAGTGTTTTTCAGGGAATCCAGTATTTTTCTAGTAAGATTGGATATCTCTTCTTTCCATATATACCAAAATTGCCATACTTTTATTGGAAATAACCACCCGATAAATACTTTTCTGGGAACCCATCTTTAACATTATCTAGTTTTAACTATTATAGTGAGAACTGCCAGCTCTTTACCCAATCTCCGATAATGTATCTGTAAGAAACCCTAATCAAATGAAATTAGACGGGTTCGGTAACAAGCAATAAACTGGTACCCTTACCCATCAAGTAATACAAATCTGAGATAACACATCACTTTTCTTATATTTTTTAATCCCATTTTTACACTGTACTAACTAATAAAAAAATCCCCAGCAAAACAAGGTTCCTATAATATTCTAACAACCATAACAGGTAATGTTGTTATACATTCTTTCAATATGAATTAATAACCATAGGTATCCACAATCTGACAACTTACAAATTGAATAGGAACATAACAAGATGGCAGTCTGTTGTAGCTAACTTTCAAACAATTGTATCCAAGTTTGTGACATGAATATTCGTAATATTATCCTCACTTCCTGACTAAAGGTAACATTTTACAAGTAAACTACATGCTATGCACAATAAGTTAAAAGTCCACATGTACCTGCCACATGTTGAAATATATTTTAACAGCTTTATGTTAGTCCTAGTTAGTTTTATATTTATTTTTAAGTGGTATTTAGTATTGAGCTGTGTGTGCAACTTTAATAAGTAAACTAAACAAATGGTATGACGCAATACCAAGTGATATATCTGTTTTATTAAGATGAGGGAGATTTAAGTCTAAAAAACAGTCCAAACTCAAGAATAATAATTTTTATTAGTGTTATCATGGTTCGTAGCCAATAGTCTTTTAATGTAAAACCTATCTAAACTAAACTGAAGGTAGCTCACAGGGACCAAAAATAACTGGCACATTCACATAAATTGGACTGCCAAAACAAATACAGTCTTAAAACGACAAAATGCATGAATGAATATATTGAACAAAATGGTGAAATAAAACCATTGATCAGCAAATAATTGTGATTATTTGAAATGGATCAAGAACCTTTATAGGTCTGGGTGGACTATTCTGATTCATCTTTGAACCCCAATTTTGGAACTAATGGGCAGCCAGTATTTATAAAAGTTTTATTTCCAACTTGCTATAATCTAGTCATAAAAGTTTTATTTACAATTTACTATAATCAAATTATAAAAGTTTTATTTCCCACTT